TAGTTACTGTACCTTATGTGTACCATCACAAAACCATCTGTACCGCTTTTTTCATCAACTGTACCCATCCGATTAGTTACTGTACCTTATGTGTACCATCACAAAACCATCTGTACTGCTTTTTTCATCAACTGTACCCATTCGATTAGTAAGCACCATGTAAATAACTGTTCTGTTAATTTCATCAACTGTACCCATCCGATTAGTTACTGTACCGTATGTGTACCATCACAAAACCATCTGTACTGCTTTTTTCATCAACTGTACCCATTCGATTAGTAAGCACCATGTAAATAACTGTACTGTTAATTTCATCAACTGTACCGATCCGAATAGTTACTGTACCATCACGGGGGACGGCAGGACCCCCATATATATGAAATATGTATATTTTGCGTCACTCTATATATACGCCAAAGAAATGAAAATCTGGACCGCTGACTTTTGGTAAGGGGTTTTTGCATATTTTAGTAGTGCTCGGGCACCAAATTATGAATCCGCAAAAAAATTTAAAAAATTTCAAAATTTGGCCGCCAGGTGGCATTTTGAAAAAATCGCTGAAAATTCATTTTTTTCGATTTTTGACCACCAAAATTATTTTTTCGAAAAAAAATATGGCCATATTCGGGATCTAGGGACCGCGTAGATAATGTTAAAAAAAAAATCATCATGATCTGTTGAAAAGTGGACGAGATATGGTCCATTGGCCAAAAATGGCCAAAAACCTCAAATTGGCCAGGTGGTATGTTTGTGTGTCTGTCCGTAGTTTCTTTTTAATTGGGTGAAATTTTTTTTTTCGAAAGTAGACTGAAAACTGAGCAAACTAATTTCTCAGTTTCAAAAAATCCGTTGCGTAATTGGTTTTGGACTGAGGTCGAATATTTTTGGGAGGCTTTTTGAGTTTTTCATCAATCGGACATTTTTCTGGCCATCTGTAAGGTACAACAATGATTTATACGTCGTTGGAAAGGTAAAAGACTCACCTTTCTGGGTCCGAAGTCATAATGGAAAAAATTTCAAAAATGTCCACCAGGTGGCGTGTTATGTGACATTTTCGGCGAAAAATGACCATGACTTTTTTCACGTGATCCAAATTTTTAAAAAAATTTGTCTATGAAAAAAATAAAAAAACTAGGCGTTTGTTAGGGACCAAATATGTGATGATGGGGAAAAATCGATGAAAATCAAAGTTATTCGTCATTTTTCTCGAAAAAATGTATGACTGGCGTGGCTTTTTTCCAACAACCAACATTTTTTTATTTGGTGAAAATTGGGAAAAGTGTGAACTTAAGCGGCCACCTATATTTTAATATCTTACTAATGCACTGTAATGTGCTAGGTTTTTACTTTGTTGGTCCACTTTGACAACTGATTTTACATAATTCGGACCCGAAAAATATAATGATGGCAACCGTTTTGAGAAATTAGTTTTTTTTAGATTTTTCAGCTTGAAACCTTTCTTTTGGAATGATATTTCGGAAAACAATGTTTTTATTCGATTGCTAAGAAAATTGGTACTGGGGGGTTTTTGGCACGAGAAAACCGAATCTGACATTTATTTTACGCTAAAATCAGGTCTCAACACACTTAGCGTTAGAATTTCGTCATAAATTACCAAAAAGATTATTGATATAAGTACAAAACACTTCTTTCGAAGTTCCCACTGTGACGCAATACTGTAAATATGGAAATGTTCTAATATAAATTTTCAGTGACGTGTTCGTTCATATACGCATACAAAATGTTAATATTCCCCCATATTTATGTTTTTTGGAGAGTACACTTTGGGTACAATCATTTTTTAACACTAAAAGACAAATAGAAATGAATATTACAAAAATTTGCGGCAAATTGAAGATGTCTATATTTTCGATTCCGGATATTGACCAAACTATGTGGTACACTTTCGAATGGTTTTCGGTACAGTGAAGTACACCTTTGGTACAGTAAATATACATATTCAACACGAAAAAATATTTTCATGTGCGGACATTTGAGTAGTCATCTCTTCCCACCATCGAAATCGATTTGCCGCCAACAAATTCGCTGAGACGACCACCTTTCACCGGTTTTACAGGTTGACCATGATCATTGAAATTTTCGGCTTCAATATCCCACAGAGTCAAATTCACCGAAGCATCACTATAGGAAATATAAATTAAATATTTCGCTGTCAATGCATACATTGTATACTGTTATATGAATGCACTTACGTATTATCAACCAAAATAATGTCACGTTTCTTCAACTCCTTGCCCGTTGATTTAGCTGTGAATGCTTGTAGCTCGCCAATCTGACGACAGACACCAATTACGTCTGAAAAGAAAATGTATAAAAGTTCAATCAAAGTCAGTCAATTTTATTATCTTTGACTAAATATTGTGAGCGCGCGATTCGCGTTTCAATGTAGAACGATGGAGTCAAACAATGATTCGCGTTGATATAATGAACCGCGTTTGGATATCCAGATAAACGGAAACTCACCGACAATTGTGTTTGGTTGTTTATCTGATATCTTGTCGATCAAGATGAAATCATATTTCACTGTTGGAACATCGTCCAGATCCTCTTTGCATTCTTGAATCATACTGTCGCTTGACAATGTCAACTCGTAGTCATTGGGGATGTTAGAGAATTGTTTGTTTGCCGGCTTCAATTGACCCTTTGAAAAGAAGTACACCTTGTCCACCTATTGGTTAAAAATGCCAAATTTAAGTCAAAACGAAGCAATGTCAAGTAGTTATGAAAGTACAATTACCTCAATCATGTCGTAGAATTTGTCGTGACACGAGCCTTTATAACCCACTTATATCCACAATACCGGCTCAATGCACTTATAGGACGACAAGCTTTTGACTGTGTTGCCTGTGTCGAAGTTGAAGGTTGTTCTGGACCAGCTGTATCAAAGACAGAGAAATATTAAATTGTAAATATATTGTGTTAAATTGTATGAAATTGGACCAGTTCAATTTCAAAAAAATACCATGAAAATTTAAAATCGATAGTTTCAAAAAGCAAAATACATTGTGTTTTGGATAACAAAGAAGAATACTACTTACTTGGATATGCGGCAGTAGATGAAGGCGATGGTCTTATTGAATTTGATTAAAGTTATTACCTTTAATTGATTTTAAATATTTCTGTTTGTTTTTAAGGTGTTACGTTATCTAAAAATTGCCTTTGATCGAAAGTTGTTGTTTTCAATTGGTCGTTCGGCTACAACGGGCAAAGAGGATGTTGTCATTTGGAATAATAGTGTAGATCATAAAACGCAATTTTCAATGTATCCAGATCCAACTTACCTTCAACGATGCCTGACGCAATTAGTGCATTTAGGAGTGACTAACTAAAAACACTCCCTATATTTATGCGGGGAAAACACTTTCCCATCCTCAATAAGGCCTTAAAAATCGACTTGCCAGTAAAATTCATCTATTTCATTCGTATTTAAAGACATTCATTCATGCAAAACTAACAAACATGTAGAAATGGCAATATATAATTAAGTGTCTTCCAAAAAAGATCAAACCAGCAAGTATTCTGTGCAAAAAACGAAACAATCTCATTCAAACTTCCATGAATAAGTATTTTTTTTAAATATAGAAAAACAAAACTAGAGGGAGAGGAAAAAAAGAAAAGAATTTATGTCGCGTGTGTTTTTATATTTTTTCAATTTTATTATTTTGATCTGTATGTTTTTCATACAAATATTTTTTGCTAAAAAGAATTTTTTGATATTAAAATATAACAACTACCGATCTATCGAAATTTCCAATACTATTTCGATTGAGTTTATTTTTTTTACCAATAAAATAATCTTTAAATAATTAGTTCATAAGACCGCAAACGAAAAACAAAACAAAATAAGTCACATATTCGTGAGAAAAAAATTAACACAAATCAATAGAATAGTAATAATAATACAAAAATTCTCTATTTCATGTAATTCAGAAAAGAAAATCAATTAAAATAAAATTTTATTGTTTTTTTACACAAAATTCAAAAAAAAATGTTTTTTGATCACTTTTTTTTGTCGTAGCGTTAGTCAATTTTGTTGTTTTTGTATATGTTTGAATAATGTTATATGCATCGAACATAAAACAAAAGATCGCCTTGAAATATATTCCAATATATTATGCTGCTTCCACGGGCACGGACTAAAATGCGTTCCTTACACTAGTGCGTTCGAGCAAACAGATTACCAAAGTAAGTCATTCGTTCTCATTGATCACAATATTTTGTTTTTCCTATCAAGACACTCTCCTTGAGAACGAATAGCTTTTTGAAATAGTTGTGACTTGGTCAAAAAAATAGTCCAACGCTCCATAAATTACTTGGACGAAGTAAATTCAGCAAATAAATCATCGAACGCATCGTCCACATTGTTTTCGTCTAATAGATTAACATTTGGTAGTGTTTGACTTTTGGCCAATGGATTTGGTGACGTTGATTTCTGTTGTTTGCGCAAAATTTTCAAATGATGCGCCGATTTTGTGGTTGTTGTTGTGGTTCGACTGCTTGTTTCTCGTAATTCCGTTAATTTTGAATCTTTGTTCGTTTCCATGGGTGAAACGGTATTTGATTTTTGCTCTTCAGCTGTTCGCACCGACGTCAACGATTGTACACTGTGTTGTGATGATGAACGCTGTAAACCTTGCGGTGATTTATTGCCCGAAAAATATGCTGCAACAGTTCGTTCTTTTTCCAAAACTTCTGAACGTTTAATGGCACTTTCGTATTGCTTTGGCACGGCCAATAGTGTACCAGATTTTGATCGCTGTACGCCACCTGATTCTTTTTTATCACTAACCTTCTCCTCGTCGTCTTCCATAACAATCGATTTGCGATTCAGCATCGCGTTGAGTGTTTGTGCATAATGTTGAACACGACGCTTTGTTTCGGCCGTTTAGTGGTGACGCTTTGTTTTAGTTGCTCTTGTCAAAAGACATCATGTCGAAAATTCGAACAACGCTTTCAACGTGATCTAAGTTGCGCTACTACCTTATTTCCATTCATTCTACGGTGTTCAAACTCTTTATCAAACTTGCCATCTTCAGAGAAGATGCAACCCAAATACTTGAATTGTGACACTTGTTCAAGCAAGTTTCCATTCAATTCGCATTGAACAGTTTTTCGAGTTTTACCCACATGCATAACCTGAGTTTTCGAACTGCTAATTGTCATTCCAAAGTCTGTACAGGCCGCTTGTAAATCTCTAATACTATTCTGCAGCTCCTGTTCAGAACTACCGAATAGTACAAGATCATCTGCATATGCTAAAGCAGAGATTATATTACCCCCCAAAGCTACATTTCCCCTTAGATTTCCTGATTTTATCAGCTTATCCATATAAATAATAAACAGAAGCGGTGAAATTGTACAGCCCTGTCTAAGACCATTATGGACCTCAAACCATTCGCTCAAATCACCATCCACTCTAACTGATGCTTTACTGTTTGCGTACAAACTTTTAATTGCCCTAAGAAGAGACCCATTTATTCCATATTTGGCTAAAACCGACCACAACTTAGATCTATTGGAATACAATCATAAGCCTTCTGCAAATCAACGAAACACAAAAACAAATCCTTATTTTTCTCATGGAATTTCTCTAGCAGCTGTCTCAAAACAAAAATTTGGTCTTTGCAACCCCGCATAGGGCGGAACCCCGATTGATTTTCATCCAGAAGCTGTTCAACAATAGCTCTGGTTCGTTTTTCCAAAATTGAACTATAAACTTTTCCGACAACACTCAATAGAGAAATTCTACGATAATTATTGCAGTCTTTATTACTGCCTTTCTTATGAAGAGGAGAAATTACTGCAATGCCCCAGTCTAAAGGAACAACAGAAGAGCCCCAAGCGAGATTAAAAATACGATGCAACCATTTAACTCCAACTACTCCACTACTCAAAAGGAATTCGTTGCGAACTTCGTCCACGCCTGCTGCTTTGCCCCATTTCAACTTCGAAATAGCTGCTTGAATTTCATCCATACTGATCTCCTCTGACTCAAACCCATCGAAGATACTAGGGGGTAGACACATGGAATAGGATTAGACTTTTTAGTGTAAAAATTCGAGAAATTAAAGTGGAATAGAGAATTCAGTAGCTGGATTCACATGGATTCACTAATCCCGTGTATGGAATAGCGAAAATGGGTTAATTCAAAGTTTTTGTAATCGATAGTACAAAATTTGATAAAAGCATTGAACTTGTTTTGAGATAGTAATTTGTTCTTTTTTGAAATATTTTTTAGTTCAAAAGTCGATTACAAATTTACAAAACAATAGATACACTTTCTCAAAATTTTATTGATGAAAAAAATAATTTTAATAATCAATAACAAAATGTCATACTCCAGTATCGATAAATAAGTTTTCAACAAAGTGAATGGCGGCGAAATGTGACATCACATTTGACAATGAAATGACGGATTGGTGGAATAGTAGGATTCGTGTTTTTATATTGGAATCATGGTTTAATCGTTTGCGTCTCCCCCATAGCGAAGATATTTTCCCCCTCGTCTCCATCTTGACCAGTAGCTCCGTTGTCATGTTCAACAAGTCATCAAAATATTCCTTCCAACGATTGAGTACATTCCTTTTTCCGATCACTAAACTGCCCGTCCTGTCCAAAACTGCTCCCGGTGCTTGTTTTTTACCTCCGTTTTTGATGTTCTTCACTTTTGTCCAGAATACTTTGTTCCGTTGCTGTCCAGCTTCCTCTAGATCCTGTCCAAATTTCACCCAATGTCCCTCTTTTGCTTCCTTGACCATTCGCTATACGATATCCCGTTGTTCCTTGTATGATGTCCAGTTTTCCTCAGTCCTATTCTGCATCCAATGAATCCATTTCACCCTCTTCTCCTTAACGGCAGCCTTGATGTCATCATTCCACCAATCCGTCTTCTTTCTGTCATTCTTAACTCTAACGAACCCTAAACACTCTCTGGCAGCCCCCAGAACAGTGTTCTTTAAAAGACTCCACTCTGTTTCAATATCTGACACTACATTTTCATTCAAATCTCCCGACCGGAGCTCCTCTCAAATTCAAAGTTCCAATATTCAAAGCGGTCTTCAACTGTGGAGCTCCGGTCGGGTCCCGGGGAGGACGAGCTCCGTGGCCTCCCCTCGTCCGAGGCCCATCGTTTCGATTTCGAGCGAGTTAAAGGATTTAAGGTGAAGGGCGTGCTAAGCCACACTGCACCCGAGAACAATCACTCGGACACGAAACAAAATAGCCATGGAATCGATCAAATCCAAAAACATCTCAAAAATTACAACAATAAACTCAACCAAATTTTAGCAAATAACGAACAAAATAAAAGGATTAAATAAAAGTAAATTGCCTGAATAAAATTTACTAGAGCAAAAGATTCGGAAAAATAACATTGTAGACAAATATATGGAACGAACTCACCGAATGAATAAACCATAATGAAGACCATGTGAAGAGCATATTACTGTACACCGGCAAAAACAGTAAAAATGACTCGCCAACAATACCACGAATTAAGTAAAATAATATAAAATTAACAGCGAACGGAGAATAAATCTTAAAAACGCGACCAGCTTCAAAACGACAATATTACGGCTATAAAAGTACAATGAACGTCAATTGGAAATTTAAACACCAACTTTGATGAAGTCAAAAACAATGAACCTGAACATTGATTTATATTTTGATTCATATTTTAAATTAATCACTACATTTAACTGAATTATGATTAAATTTTGAATAAAATGCCAAATCACATCAAGACACTAACACTTTAAATAGATCAAAACAGCCGGTGTTTAAATTCCATATGACGTTTTCCGCGTAAACAACATGAACAAAATAAAAAAATACCATTTCTTTCAATAAAAAAATTTGATAAATATGTTCAATAAGTTGAAAAATAATAATTTTCATTCAATTTGAAATAATTTGTTTTGATTTAAAAGAATTTGCCAAACGGTGACAACTTTATGCCAATGTTGCTGATTTAAAAGAGTAGCGTCTTATGTTAACGTATATTTCAAGGTATTGCATCTCAAAATATGGAAAGCACAATAAAGAAACGAGGCGAAATCTATAACAAACTGAAAAGTAATTATTTAACCGTATTATTCTTATTCATTCAATACAATTTAATTAAAATTTTCCTTATTTTTTCAGATTTGCTTCATAAAGATGATGACGAAGACTGGTGGGAAAACAGCATAGAAATTGGTGAAAGCGTATATGTCAGAGCTGTGGAAAAATATGGGCCCAAACAAGCACACCTCTATCTGATGTGTCATGGCACAATTCGAAGGGATTTGAAACGCCCATTCCATAGCAAAAAAAAATCTTATGAAAAAGCAACTTTGTTTGTCATGTCGACGGCGTTTTACAAGGGTCTTAGCAAGAGTAAATATTTTCACTCTCGACGAAGAGGTCACGAAAAGGCGATCAGATCGATAATAAGAGGAAACAGAATTCAAAATGTACAAAGGGTTCATCACGAGGTGTTGAAAATACCAGACAATATATTGAATTAACTGGTCAGTTGAGCTGACAGTACGTTAGCCAGCTAAATGGGCTAAAACAATAGACGTTATTGTTTTAATGATGAATCACTTTTCTTGTTTTAATAGAAGTGATTGTTCATTATAACAATAACTTCTATTGTGTTGGTCCATTTAGCTGGCTAACGTACTGTCAGCTCAACTGACCAGTTAGTTCAATATATTGTCTGGAAAATACTAAAAAAAGGGCCGAGTGTCGATTTTCAACATACCCTTGCCGGCACCGCTGGCTTACATAAAAGTTGCAGAAAGCTGTGGAATTAGTTATTATTATTCTGATTCTTCGGTAAATATAAACTATAATGTTTTGGCATTGAAAATTGAAATATAAAACCAAGGTTTAAAATATCTGCTGACTTAACTAAACGTGATCAAACTAAATGATAAAATTGACAAAAAAGAATAGAAATAAACGAAACATAGTTGATTAGTCAACAGGACAAAAGCAAATGGTTCAAAATGTCAAGCGATTCAAGCAACGATTGGAAACGCTGTAGTTCAGTGTTTAATTGAGTAGGGCGGCGCAACCGTCTATACATACAAATGTCCATTTAAATCAGCGCCATCTACGCTAAAACATACTTTTGGTTGAAAATAAAACGCCATCATATTCCGATATTGGATTCGAGCGAATCCGATGAAAAAGGAGAACATAAGGACAATGTGGATTCGAAACGTAAAGGTGTGAGCGAACGGGAGAAAAAAGGTGTTCCGTCAGACGATTCGAGCGATTCGAGCAAATTGGATGATTCAACTCTTGTCAACGCAAAAAAAGAATCCGTCGGAAAACGAAAACATAAGGACAATGTGAATTCGAAACGTAAAGGTGTGGAGGAACTGAAGAAAAAAGGTGTTCCGTCAGACGATTCGAACGATTCGAGCGATTCGAGCGAATTGGATGATTCAACTCTTGTCAGCTCAAAAATGGCATCCATCGGAAAACGAAAACATCTCAGCCGTTTTACATACAACGTTTACACGGTGTATTACAACGCGGTCACCTTGCGGCAGAGCTACGCGTCAGTCGTATGTATTACTTATGTATACTATGCGAGACTCGACCCGCTCACACTTGTATGCGGCAGAGCTATGGTCATCGCTCTATACATAAAGAATATATACGACCGACGCGTAGCTCTGGCAGAGTCTGCCGCAAGGTGACCGCGTTGTAATACACCGTGTAAACGTTGTATGTAGAACAGCTGAGATGAACCCGATGGTTCAACTTCTGCTAACGATTCGGACAGCAATGATGATGAAAACAGCAGCTCATACAGCTTGGAGAAACCAAGCTCATCAACAATAAATTCTTTCTTCTTGCTTTCGTCATTATAGTTTTCTCAAGCAACCACAAAAGGAAGCGAAGAAGCAACAATCGAAGATACCGGAAAAATCATCCGAAGCTCGTCAATCATGTTGGCTACCAAAATGTAATGTAAGTGATTTCAGAATGATTTTTTTTATTTTTATATTTATTTATTTTTTTTTCAGCGCAAGGATCCAGCACATTTCTCGGACAAAGCACACGCAGGCGATGCAGACTGGCGCCGACCAGAGGTTGTACCAAAAAAGAACGCTAAACCTTGCCCGTATAATTTCCTCTGTGTGTCGGTTGATTACAGTCACTTGAAAAAATACACACACCCACCCCAAAAATAATGTGTTCATCATCGGTTTACTTATTTTTTATTTTCATTATTTGTTTCTCAATAAAAAAAAAAGTTCCACATTGGTCGCAATGATTCTCTTTTTGGTAAATGTTTATTCTTTTTAGAAAATGGCTTTCATTGTTTCGAAATATAGCGGTCTTTTAGATTTCAAGAGGCAAGTTTATTTCTCAGCAGTTTTCCCTCTGTTTCTAAATACAAACAAAATTTAATTTCGATTAACTGTCAACGACAAAGAATCCGTTGTTTTGTGCATTTTGCGATATGCTGCCATTCCCAATTTGATGACAACGAAATGTCAAACAACACCAAACAAAAATACAATACATATAGCTTCGTGTACGCATCTTTGTCGTTTTTTGACACTATCAAACATAAAAAGTTAATCTACCAGCCAAATATGGCCACAAAACGATCATATGATCAAGAGGATGGTAAAAAACTTAATTTTTAAAATATTGACATATATCTACATATTTTTATACAATTTTTTAGGAACAAGTGCAATTATTTTGAATGATTAATACTTTTTTTGTATTATCATCGTTTTTAATATTTCCATTTCAATTTATTTTATTCTTATTTACGATCATGCATGCGATGCAAATGTGCCGTTTGAGAGTTAAACGCACTCTGCTCAGTTATGACAAATGTAGGGTTAGACAAACTCTCAGTCAAAAACTGCTGGCTCACTCGCTATATGAAAAATTGACATGGTTCTTTGGAACAATCCAAACTCAATGTTTCTCAAGTAAGAATCTAACACATTTGTTATATTTAAAAAAATACCGTTTTTTTCTGTATTGTTTTATTTTCATATTTATTTGAAGTGCAATGATGACAGTGTGTATGCAGTGGCAAAAGATCCGACCGAGGTTATTTTAATCGACGAAAGTGAATCAACCCAAGAACTGTATCAACATATATTCGGCGATGAAAAAGATGCTACAAATGTAGCTAAAAAGCCACAACAATTGAAAAGTAACCCGATCGATTGTGAAGATTGCAATCAGGTATAATGAAAGAGTTTTATAAAAATCAAAATTCAATTTTATTGAATATATTTTTTGGATTGAACAGTATCACCGAATGATGGGACGTAATATGGAAAAGAATCCACCGAAGAAATATGGCGTTTGTTCAAAACACTATAGAAATCAGAGGTTACGTAGCAGATTTTATATCACAGCGAACAACAATACATGCATTGTTCTTTATACAATCGTTCGAATGTTTTGAGTCACATAATCGTGAAGAGAACAATGCATGCATTCTTGTCTGCTGTGATGTATAAACTGCTACGTACATTCGTATGCAACGGACGACGCATTCTCAGCAAGATATTTTAATATGCTGTGGATGGCAGCAGCGCTGAGCAATACTCTGATAGAAATGTACCGCAGTATGAAACGCCACCAGGATTTTGGAATCCAAAAATAATCGATTCCGACGATAAGGAGGAAACACCATTTGATCCGCGATTTGTTCAAAAGACAAAAACAAATATTTCAAAAAAAATTTAAAAATCTTTATTGAATAATCTTTGGAACGTGAGAAATGAAACAGATGGGAACACAAGTGATTAGATTTGTTGTTTTTCTATTACATCTAGAATTGTTAATTTTTTTCATGGAATATAGTTTATTTAGTTCCAACCAAAACGTAAAAATAAAATAGAATATTGAAAATATCGAATAAATAAGGTCTTTCGGTTTTTGTATTCATTTCAATTGAAATATTGTATACATTTTTTGAATTGTTTATTAGACATTAATTATAGTTTTTTTCCTTAATTTTTTCTACTTTTTCATTAAAATTAAATCACAGCGATTCTATCACTTGATTACTTAAAGAAAGGGAGATAAACTATTCAGAAATAGCTGTTATTAACGATAGATTTCTATCTGAGAATTGAATTTATAAGTTTTTCCTGTTCTTTTTTATATGGTGCTTTCGAATGAACCATATATATGAAATATGAAATAAAAATGACGTTGTCCGTGTTTTTCTGATCGTTCTTGTACGTGTACTTATGAAACTAGAACATAAACGACCGGAAGTGTTGAGCTCGAAGATAAGTATTCAATTCGGTTTGGTCACGTTCTGCCATCATTCCAATTTCATCGCAGCTTTTGCCTAGACAAAAAACATTGATTTTTGTAGAAAAAAAAATGAAAATCACTCAATTTATTCAAAATTACCCAGCAGTTTTTCAGCATCGTCCGCAAATACTGTTGCCCAACGATTCGATGTCCAATCGGCAATGCTCATCTATACAAAGACAAAAACAATTCAGTATAAATCTTTACAAGTAACAAAATAATGCAATCGTCTTACGTTAACAAGCATACGATACTTGAAATTTGCCGATTCAAAATTGCAACTAGCGCAAAAATACTAGCCGTTGCCTTTCTCTTCGACTTTTTTCTTGCATTGATCTAGTGTACAAGCCTTGTAGACAAGATTTTGATTGCGAATCACATTGATTGTGCCTTTAATTTGAAAGTAATCGGGTTTGTCACCATTTCCAAGATTCTTCAATTTGGCTTCATGGAATGTCAACCATTCGGTATTAAAAACTAATGCCGAAATGCTGTTGCGAATTTCACGTCCACCGACATTGTCGAACCATCCTCGCAAGAAATGACCTTCGGGTAAATCGGGATTTTTCTTCAAAACTGTACTTCCCACCGGATGACTACTCAAATGTCCGCACGTGAAAATATTTTTTCGTGTTGAATATGTATATTTACTGTACCAAACTTCACTGTACCGAAAACCATTCGAAAGTGTACCACATAGTTTACTAAATTACTATTGTTTTGGAGTGATAAACGACTATAACTAATGAATAAAAACAAAATAATCTTTAAAGTCATTTAAGTGTACCCATCCGAATAGTTACTGTACCTTATGTGTACCATCACAAAACCATCTGTACCGCTTTTTTCATCAACTGTACCCAT